ATGATTTGCAGTGCCATCAAAACTGGGGTCATGCCTGATAGACTTGCTTACCTGCAGATAGGTCCAGTCTCACATTCTAGGTGGCTCACAACGGCTCTCAGGTTCTGCAGAATTTGGGTCGCTCATCATAAACTGAAAGGGAACCAGCTTCACAACCTGAGACTTATTGTCCAATTCATCGTGAGTGTCTACTTGCCAAATTGGTTCAACACCAAGGTCAAGTCATCGTTCTCCGGGTCCGAGGCATGTTCTCTTCCAGCTTGAGCTCAGAGGAGTCAGCCAAGAAGGTTGTTCAGATTGTGGAGCAGACTGTGAGAGATCTTCCTCATGCTCATCCCGAGGCAGTTCTGCAGACAATGCTCTGCAGTAAGGATGAGGAGAGAGAAGAGTGCAGTCAAAAAGATCTGGATATGAGACTTATGAGAGGATCTGGGCATGACGAATCAGTTGGTGACGATTCCTTCAGGGTCAGGAAGACTCCTGAAGTCAATCTAGGTGCCAAGACCCTCACTGATCTCATAGATCTGGATAACATCCAGGCTGGCAGTGAGCCCCCTCTTACCTGCAGCCTCACCAATGTTCAAGTCAGAGCTTTCCTGGACAACCCCATGCATGTCCCTGCCTGGCCCTCGCACACCCAGAGTATAGAGCGTTGTGTACAGCAAGTGAGCGAGGCCAGCAGTCACGTGTACAGCCAGGAGAGGAGGGAAAGCTACATCCGAGCTCAGGTGGTCAGCAGGAGGTGATGAGTAGAAACAGAAGCAAGAAAGACATGTTCTCTATGGTGTGCAGCAACACCGGGTCGTAGTAGTAAAACCGGTTTTTGTATTTGATGATTTTGTTTTCTAAAGGAATATTAAATTTAATAAATGTGTCAAGATCATTCGTTTCACTATTCTGGATCATTTTCATCCTAATAAATTAACCTGATACATTTACTTTTTACTTAAATAAGCTATTTAGTGGTGTTGGTAAAAGGGTGGGAATACTGAATTTTCATAAGATTTCAAGTTAAAATTTACCTAGCAAAAAATGAAAACTTTTCAAATCTGAAGATATCACATGATTCTGCACATAGAACTACATCATTAATACCATGGGCCGATTTTTCAAACTAAAAAAAAAAAATTCGCCTCCGTATGACACACCCTAATGTGCTATCCATCCGTGTACATACAAAAAGGCCACAAATTAATTCACTTAAAAGAATGTTGTCTCCACTAAATGTAATGCTCTCTCACTATTACATCACTCTTTCAGCCATAATAAACATACTGCACCTTAGTTAACACCAAAATTACCCACGATGGCCCAGATAACAATAGATAAATATGCACCAACCAAGCTTGTCGTGTACTATGTACCTCAAAGCCTACCCGAAGAGTTACAACCAAAACAAAAACATTCCAATACTTCCTTGTTTCATCAACAGATAACTTCTTTAATTCTTTTTTTTTACTACACAACTACACCTTACGGTCTCTCATAACTGTACAAAAAATATAGATACATTCTGTAAAGTTTATATAATGAAACATAAATACTTATATAGATACTAATCTACACTTATCAGACATTTTTACAATTCTTTACTATAAGTTTAGAATTTAATCTAAGGAAAACAGGACCCAATAGAAACTAAATACAATGGGTAACTGAAACAAATATTTAGGGAAAATGGAAGATGACCGTAACACCCCCCTCCCAAAAGAAGAATGAGTCAGCCGCAGGATGACTGATGACTAACTGGAATACGGGACAATGCATCAGCTACGACATTCAAGTTTCCTTTCACATGTCCAATAATCAATTTATAATCTTGTAACAATAGATTCCACCTTGTCAAACGTTGGTTTACATTTTTCATCTTGTGCAAAAATACAAGGGGATTGTGATCCGTAAACACTTGGATCGGTATGCCTGATCCCCTCATATAAACATCAAAATGGTTCAAACTTAAAATACATGCCAATGTTTCTTTCTCAATTGTACTATAGTTTTTCTGATACAAAAGAAACTTCTTTGAAAAATAACAAATAGGATACTCAACATCATCTTTCTCTTGCATTAAAGCTCCACCAGCTCCATAATCACTAGCATCTACATACAATTTAAATGGTTTATCATAATTTGTAGTAGAAAGTATGTGTGCACTTATAAGTATCTGTTTCAATTTTGTAAAAGCTTCATCACAATGAACACTCCACACAAATTTGACTTTCTTTGACAACAGATTGGTTAAGGGTAAAGCAATGGCTGAAAAGTTCTTACAAAACCCGATAATATCCACTCATACCAAGAAATCTCAATAATTCTCTCCTATTTATAGGTGCAGGAAATTTCACAATATTTTCCACCATAGCATTAATTGGTTTGACACTTCCCTAACCAACAACATAACCAAGATATTCTACAGTTGCTTTAGCAAATTCACTCTTCACAAGGTTTACAGTCAAGTTTGCTTGGTTAAATTTGTTAAGTACTTCTCTGATTAAATACAAATGTTCTTCCCAAGTTTTTGAATACAGTACAAATAACATCTATATACACAGAACAACCTTTAACATCATACAAAACTTGATCAACTAATCTTTGGGAAGTACTACCGCTGTTTTTCATGCCAAAGGGTAACACTTTATACTGATATAAGCCATCCACAGTCACAAATGCAGACATTTCTTTCGCTCTTTAGTCAGTGGGGCACTTCCCAATATCCTTTCAACAAATCCATCTTAGTTACAAATTTAGCATCTCCTATCTGGTCAATACAATCATCCACTGTTGGAAGAGGATATGGGTCGGCTTTGGTTACATTACACTGTGCAACGATTTTTTGTTTATGTTGATTTTGATATGTTTCTTTACTAATTTAGACATGCTGATTACGAATTTGCCATTGGTTTTGCCATGTTATCAATATAATTTGAAAAATTAACAATATCACTCTTTTTCTCAATTGTAATGCAATTTTGGGGGATTTCTGTTAAAAAGCACAGCGATTTCAAATGCTGACTTCTCATCTTCTGAAGAGGGTGAGGATGTTGATTTTAATGTAGCAGACTCAAGCAAATCCCCACATTCTCCTAATCATCACGAACTGGATGACTTAGTCAGGGATTTAGGTCTTACCAAGAAAAATGCTAAGATTTTGACATCTTGTCTCAAGGAGGGGAATTTACTAGATCCTAGTTGCAAGATTAGTACATACAGGAAAAGGCATCTAACTTTTACACCTTTCTTCAAAGTCTTGGAACTCAATTTGCTGTATTGCTGCTCTGATGTCAATGGCCTTTTTGGCCAAATAGGCATTGAGTACAACCCTTCTGATTGGCGTCTGTTTATTGACAGTTCAACAAAATGTCTTAAGGCTGTATTGCTTCACAATGGGAATACACTTCCATCAATTCCGGTAGGTCATTCAGTTCACATGAAGGAAGACTATGGAAATGTAAAGATGTTGTTGGACATGCTCAACTATACAAGAAACAATTGTGATGTATGTGGAGACTTCAAGATGATAGGTTTCCTGCTTGGACTAAAAGCTGGCTATACCAAGTATTCCTGTATTCTCTGTCTATGGGATAGTATAGCATATGACAAACACTATGACAGAAGAGATTGGTATGTCGGAAGCGAATTAACTCCTGGTGTACACATTGTGTGTAACAATGCTCTTATTCAAAGAGAGATGATGTTGCTGCCAACACTTCACATAAAACTAGGGCTTGTGAAGTAGTTTATCAAAGCATTAAGCCCAGAAAGTAATGCCTTTAAACATGTCCGCTTAATTTTCCCCAAATTGTCTGAGGCCAAAGTCAAAGGCGGCATCTTAATTGGACCACAAATTAAGCAGATGTTGGCATCTGAAGATTTGGAAGACAAAATGTCAAGTGTTGAAAAAAGTGCCTGGCAAACATTTCGGCTTATAGTACATGGGTTTCTGGGCAACCGCAAGTCTGAGAACTACAAAGAGATGGTGGAAAATTTAATTGTATTTTATAGAGAACTTGGCTGCAGAATGTCACTGAATTTACACTACTTGCATTCACACTTGGAATTCTTCAGACCAAACTTGGGACACGTGAGTGAAGAGCATGGTGAATGGTTTCACCAGGATATACAAACTATGGAGAAGAGATATCAGGGGAGATGGGATGAAGCTATGATGGGTGATTACGTGTGGAGTTTGATTCGAGATGACCCTAAGGAACACAAGAGAAAATGCCGTTCAACTGTTCATTTTTAGCATACTTTATTGTTCAATTTCATTAGTAGCAACTGTATAAAAGGAATGTGTTGTTTATGCTTTCAATATAACATAAAATTGTGCTCTCGTTTCATTTATTTCATTAGCAAATGTGATGTATATCAACATTTCATCTGATTTCTGGTTAAATTTCGGAGATGATAAAAAATTAATTGCTAATTTCTGATAAAACTATTGATGCTGTAAAAAAAACTAAATTCAGATTTGGAATTAGGGCACTCGAAAACATATATAAACAGTTACAAATTCAGGTAAACACAACTTTCCTTAAAATTTGTAATTCTGTAATCGGTACAAAATCTACATGAAATACAGATACCATCAGGTTTAGTCACCAATATACAGGGTGAACTCCAAGGGATGTTTAATTTTCAACTTCAACATCATGCTGTAATACCTCAGTTCTCCAAGGAACATCAGAAAAGAAATGCCTAAACTCATGTACAATTTGTAGGATTTGATTTCTCTTCTCAGTTCCTAAATGATCAAGTTTCTTTTCTAAATTTTTCAACACATCCGAATTGTTTAACAGTTTATTTTCACATCTCCCCAACTTCACATCTACCACCTTTTCATCATCAGACCTGTCACATGGACAATTCACCTTGTTATTTACATCATTTTCTGTAGAATTTCTATCATAATATGTTTTTATCATGTTTACGTGACACAATTGGTTTGACTTGCGTCTTCCTGAACTATTTACAATATAGTTCAATGCTCTCACAATTTTTTAAATCACCCAGGGACCACAAAATCTGGCTTTCAATGGATTTCCTGTTTGTGCCAACATGTGGTCACCAGGTTTGAACTCTCTGCTTCTAGACTTCTTGTCATACCGCCTTTTCATGTTTTCCTGATACTTTTTAAAAATTTCTGCAGCAATATCTATAGCCCTACACAATCTGTTTTTGAAATCCGATACATACTTCAGAAGCTTGACGGTCTCCAATGGAATTATGCCTCGATAGATCTCATACTACTCGAGCAGAAGTCACTCCTGTGCCTCAAGCAAGGTCTTGCGCATATAGCGGCAACGGTTATAGTACTTGACACTTTACACCTTGTTGATGGAGCAATTGGCGCATAAGTCAGACTGGATAACGGTCTGCTCAGCACCACTTCCTTCCATAGACTTCCAAATGGCACCTTGATACGTACTGGTTGTGTGAAAGACGCCAAGTCTGATGAATGTTTTAGGGAATTTCTAGGGGTATTGCATCGTAATAGCATAGGCCTTCTTAGCTGCTGTCAAGGCAAAACAGGCGATGGTCTAAGACTGGCCTACTGCAGCAGTCATAGCTTGCGCTTGAACTCGACACTCCTGCATCGTGCTGTTTACTGTGACAGGGACTGGTATTGAAGGAAGGTATTCAAATGTGGTGAGAGGTTCAATACCTCGTTCCCGATGCAGGATGTCTAGCCTTACCCCCTGGAACAATCTGGGGTCGGGCTGAGACGAAATCCTTCTCGTCAAAACCCACGTAAGGTCTAAATCGTGAGCTTTGGCCGCCACTGACCTGTCCTTGCTGTACTTTAGAGATTTCAGACATGGGAGGAGCCTGCTTTTTCCTCAAATAGCTTTTCAGCCGTTGATCAACAACATCATGGTCATTGTTGGCGGCGACAGTGATGAGTTTATCTTGACAAATAAGACCATGAATGATGTGAGCTGGCTCTTTCCCAGGCGGTGTCTTTTCCTGAAGCTCGAAGTTATCGAATCACAAATGAACGAGAGAAGACATGACTATGTCAATGTTTGTAGTGTAATGAGGGGGGGGGGTGGATTTAGATAGAAATAATAGTAAGAAGTCACTAGTATTAGGCTTGTAAAGTGAGGAAGTTTGGTAGCGCGGCCGCTTAGTTATTTAACTGTAAATACATTCTTAGGGGAAATCTTTCTCTAAACACCACTTTCAGGGTAAAGCTATTTATTATTCAACTCAATGACACATTAACATTAATAGATCAATATCGAAGTTACTGGACACTGACTCTCGGACACAAACATGAAATGGATACACTTCCCATCGTAAGTAACTCACCCCTGGATCGCTCTGAAAAAGACTCACGTGTGACCTGAAGGAGGCCTAGCAGGTGCTGTTGAAGGGAGTGCCGGACTATGTCTCCTGTGGGAGACTCTGCTAGCCGGAGACGCGGTGCTGGGTAGGAGAGTCTCCCTCCCGACCTCTACTAGTGACGAGCCTGACTCCGTCTTCTGTCGATAGTGATGTGAAAGTAATGCCCCTTGGAAGGAGCTGCAGGGCCTTTATAATGGAGGAGGGCCGGCAGATGACCTCTCCTAATTAACACTAAACTGGTTAGATTTGGACAGGTATGTTTGCCCAGGCGCGTGGTCATGTCGCCGGCCGCTAATGCTTCCTAGTTATTACCACCCGGGTGTGTCTGGGCTAGGTGTGGTTTCTTTAACACGGTCATAACGCCAGGTTAACTCATGTACCTTGTCCGTGACCTCTCCTTGGTTAGATCTTACTGTCACTGTAGGGTGTGTCAACCTATATGGGTTACTACGTGGGCATCTACTTACTGTTAGATGTAAGCTGTGGTCTGATAAACAATCATTACAGTAGGAAGGGACCGAGGTACCCCTTGACCTGGACAAACACTGCCTCAAGCACTCTTGAGTATGATACACAGTGATCAAAACGGTTATCCCCAAAAGCATGTGTTTGGAGGTGACCCAGAGTCCGTCCAGGGCAGCATACATGACATCGTGACAATGACTTGTTACGAACCCCGCCACAAATTGTCCTGATCTACCTACCCATCTAGGGACGAAACACGAGTATGACTCGTCTTAGTTACCACTCCCGGGTTTCCCTTCTCCATATCCTGGTTGTTGCGTCACCTCCTCAAAGTCTTCTTTGTCAGCTCCAGTTCGAGGAGAGAGCAGTTCACTCTGGGAAGTGACCACAGGATCACCTATCCTGGAAACCTACGGCACAGTGACTACCTACCGCCTTCTACAATACTCAGCCTTACTCGTCAGCCACCTCAGCTCCGCACTTAAGTATTTGTAATCTTATATTGCCTCCCCCCACGTCCACTTGCTTCCAAAATTGTTTTATGTTGTATAAATATGTATATACTGTTAATGTTTAGGTTAAGTTTGGTTAGGGTAAATTATAGAAAGCTGAATATTTTGTTAAAGAGAATTTATGGTACTTTATTATACACAACAAAACTCGCATCCTTTGTCTACCCTTTTATAGTCCGATTGTCTTTGTTTTTGTTGGGATCTGGGTAGACTTTAACTATATTCTAAATCCCCAACTCGTAACAGCAGACTCAATGGGAAGGCGTCTTTTGGTTTCCAACAATCAGACACTCCTGATGAAGCTGTAGCAGTGCTGAAGGGGGAGTAAGATCTTTAATCACCTTGCCTATGGAGGAGGCCAAGGTAACTCATCTACAGACTTGTAGGTAGACATAATCACACGACGAAGAACGAGGTGCTGCTTCACTCTATCAATCAATAATCAGAGCAGCAGGCGTTAAGGACAGCTTCCACATCTTATTAGGGCGGACGCTAGACGCATACACCAGTTCACTGCGATAGCTGGGTCTCCAAAGTTTAATTTTGGAAGGAAGTGCTTCACCAAATTGTCTTTGAGTTTATATGTTTTGTACTCACTATTGTAGAACTCATTGTGATTTTCAACATATACAGGCGATGCTTCTCTTTCAGCATGGTAATCCTTTTAACCTTTTTCCTTGAATGACTGATTCCTCCGACATAATTACAGATATACTCAAAACATTCTCATGAGCCTATAGCGGCAGGTCCTTCTGGAAGAGTAGATTGGTGGTAATAGGTAAGATGATGCCTGGCCTCCTTTGCCACAAGTTCAACATCTTTCTATGCCATAATTACACTGTATGGGTGACTTCACCTATCATTTTGATAGCATCCTCGCGGCATTTGGATTTAATTCTTATGAGGTCTTCATGCTCCCCGCCACTCTCTTGCCGCAAAATATGCATTCGTGCTGAGGCAACAAGTCAGGATGAGCAGACAATGATAGCGCTTCCTCTTTTTTTTTTTACATTTAATCTCAGTTGAGACTCAGAACTATCCAGGATTGGCTGCATGTAAAGTCTACTTGCATGGGTAAACATTTGACAGCATTCAAGATTTACACAGTTTTGCAACGCTCCTATTTGAGCCTAAACGGCATAAACACCCATACCGTACTCAGAAATTAGAAGAAAATATCTTAATATTGTTAGCACTACAAACTAATTAGTTCACGGGCTCCGAAAAAAATCCCCCTTCCTTTCTTTATACCTGTCACCATTTTATAGTTACCTGGATGTCTAAGCTTCTGAAAATCTTAATTAGTCAAGTGATTTCTGGTTGGTCAACTTAAAATTTTAGAACATTCAACCTGAAATCTAGACACTGAAGTTGATATTTGGCTATCCGTACATACATTTGAACATTGACCTGAAGCATGACTTTTTAAACCTCGAAATAACCATACCTATAGATTTCCTACCTCAGAGTAGTCAAAATCTAAAAGTCGTTCATGTATCTAGGTCTACTGGTTCAAATGAGTATTAATTAGTTGAAAAATGTAAATTTTACCCATTTGGCAGGTGTTATGGGATTTAACCCTTAAGGTGTCATTGAAACCTCAAATAGCCACCCCAATCGATTTTTCACCACAAATTAGTTACAATGCGTTCCTCGTGTTTTTAGGCCCACTGGAGGGAAAAGTTGTGTTTTTCAATTTTGTCCCCGTCAGCGAGGCCATCTTGGATATCTATTTACAGTTACTAGCAGCCAGAAATCACTTGACTAGCAAGCTTTCCGAAGCACTGACATCAAAGAAAACTGAAAAATGGTGACTGGTAAGAGAGGGAAGTAGATGGGTTTTATCGGAACCCCGTGGACTTTAAGTTGTCGTGCTTAACCGCACCACCTACTACCCCACCATACGCTCGTTTACCAGAGTAACAAGGCGGCCACCGGTCATCCTCCGTATCGCAGCTCCACTTCCATACGTCTACAATCATCCAGCTAAAGCTTCTTATGAATTTACCATATTTTCACTTCCGTACGTCACCTTCATTCCATATAGCCACTCGGGTAGGACTACTTATTCTCATTTTATTAGTTTGGAGTATTTCCGCGTTTGTTGAAGTCGGTGGGGGCTTTGGGCGTGGCTGGCCTTTCCTCCTCCCTACTCACCTTGATACAAACACCGGTGGGTCAGTCAGTAGTACAATGAACATTCGTGGCTGGTGTGATCTCAGTGCTTGTGTGTATGTGCTGTCTCGCTCTATGGACTACTGTAATGGTCCTGCTACGCCTCTTCCGGATTACTTCAAAATATACAACGGCTTGGCGACTCTGGTTCTCCTTAGGCCATCCAGGTTTTTGTGTTATGTATGTTTCAGACGATCTTATTTTTTGTAGACATGTCCAGGTGCTGCGTGATGGTTTAACTTGTTCTATTGTAATTTCTAGAGATTATTTGAACTGCCTTTCCTCATATGCTCGGGTGTTGTTGGGTTAAGAGACATAATTTCTTTGGTTCGTGTCCTGTTTAAGTGTTAATTATATTTAATTTATCTAAGTTTAATGTTTAGGTTTTCGACACGTGTTTTTCTTCCCTTTTCACCGTAATATGTCTCCTTTGTTTTGGTTTTCAGTTGTCATTACAGAGTTTTGCTAATAGCATGCTTTCATTTGTTATGGTTAAGTTGTGGCTGCTTGTCTTGTGGAAAGGCAAGCAGCCCTTACTTTAAAACAGGGGTGGCCAACCTTTTGTGTGATGTGATCTACTTTTTCCACAGTTACCCTGAAGCGATCTAGCAGCCTAATAATATTCACCCATAACACCCCCTCCCATTGCCATAAAATACGTAGACTCGTAGAGAGAGAGAGAGAGAGAGAGAGAGAGAGAGAGAGGTGCACAAATAATATTTTTCAATAACTGTTATGATATATTACTAACATGATAAAATCATACACTTACTTCTTACTATTAGAGATGGTTGGCATTGCATGTTGTCTGCCAGCTGTGTATAATTAGGACTGTAGGCGGTCACTGCTGGCCTCAAGCAACATCCAGGTGTTCATCTGACATTGTTGATGGGTATTTGGGTTTGATGTGTGTTTCATGTGTGAAAATGTTGATTCACAAAAGGAAGGTTGATCCAAAAAGTACTGTTAGGTACACTCGGAAACAGCATTTTCTAGCCCCACCAGGTCGGCCCAGGTTGAGGACCATGTTCTTTCTGAACGGCGGGCCACGCTAACTTTATGCGGGGCAACACACGCACAAACACAAGTTATGAACGGCGGAAGCTTCGTTATCAGTCTGTCATGTTATACTCATCTTGCTCTGTATAATGGTAAGCGGTCATAGTATGGATACATAGATGTTAATATGTATTAGTACAATAGTACATAGCATTTTATACCCTTCAAAATATCGTCATAAACATTGGACAGAAGGAAAAGTCTCACACACTGTAGTTATGAAATTAAGATCCGAAGCACCGTCATACAGGTGAGTGAATCACACAGAGATGACCGACCTGAAGTCGGGTGTAGGAGAAGGCCTGCCGTTAGTGTGGACACAGTTGCTCAAAGGGTAAGTCGTATGTTTC